GCCAGCTTACGGCTGTGGAATGGAACAACCAGACCACGACAACTAATTACGTGCGATGAAGTATGCACCTGTCAAGTTCAGGGTGTAACTGCTTGACTCAAAGCCTTTTATGATCGACACAGATCACAAACGGCATTACGCACTGGACTCAGTCACCTCACTTCTCGCAGGGAATGGCCAGGTAGCTCTCATTCTTTGCGGAATATAACTTCGAGGTGAAAGCCGCGTACGTACTGTCCTAAGATTCACCGTGTGCAGAAGAAGAAGATGGGCTTTCCTCACGGGCGCCCTCGCTTCCAGCTAGGATGGATATTTTGTGTGTCGTAGACACAGTGCCCATTGAGCGGAGAAGGTTTAATTGTGTTCTTATGGATGTGAAGGTGTCTCAGACAAGCGAGCCTCGTATGAGTCGACCGTTAGATGTGAATTGAGGAAATCCACAAATTAACGGGAGAGGGCATAACGGGGTTACACGTACCTTTGTAATAAAAAGGGCGGGTCGCACCAGATTGTGCAACCGTACATAGTTGCGTACTACACAGTTAGTGTAATCACACAGTGGTGTGACTTCACCGTAACAACTAACCACCACGTGGTAGGATTGCCACCCACATAAAAAACACCGCTGTGTTGTGCCTGATGACGGCCTTTTCTTACCACGATCATAACGGTTTATTAACTTTGCTATATTAATTATGTATTACTACTTTAATTAGAGTAGAGTTTTGGATATTAGTGGCTCTGCCGAAACAAAAGCAATTAAATACAGTTTCGTTTTTTGACAGAAGCGTTCGTTTGCCTTGGTATGCTTTAGTACTTAAGAGTAGCGGATTCCGATCCGCTACACATGTAGTGGTCCTTGTAAAGAACGTACGGTCGGTGACCTTAGCTTCGCATCTCTAAACAAAGAGCGACGGCGGCCCAGATGCACTGTCGACGACGTCAATCCACGAAGCGTTCCACGACTTAGTGAACGCAATTATTCTCATCGAGAAGAGTCGGCGGCTTGGTCGATCGACGTTCGTTGACTCTCGACGCTCGAAGAGCGTCGAGGACAAAATCTGTCGTCAGCGGCATTCCGCCGACCGGAAAAATTCGAGAGACTGGAGCACTTTGTGCGCCGACTGCCTCACGTTGAGGATTATCGCGCTCTGTCGGAGCGGCTTCTAGCTGATGAGAAGACGAACACATCATTTCGTGCGACACTGGAGCACCTTGCGCCTTTGGAAACGGAAATTGTTGCACTCCTTGCTCAGAACCAGTTGCCGGTTCAGCCTTTGGGTGACCGAGCGTCTTTGGCCAACGCTCACTCGTTCAATTGCGCTGGATCCCTAAAGCAAGCCCACACAAAACACCGCATAAGTGCGCGTTCTACTCGAAAGGTTCAGCGTATACGACAGGCCTCAGTTGGCCACGACCTTAAAAGGTCTGATAAGCGGTGGACGGAACTTCGTCTTAAAGACAGCATAAACCGCATGTGTAGGATGGTTTCTAGCATTTAATAAAACAAGGTCTCCGACTTCAATGTTTTCGACATTTCTTCTTCTTTTTCCGTCTGCACATTCCTTCTGCATGTTTTGGCTTTCAGCCATCGCATCACTAGTCGTGAACACTCAGTCTGGTAGGAAGTCACCGGGTTCGTTACAAACAGTGAGGGGGCTGACATCAGCTGGTCGGCTATTCCTCCTTTACCAAGCCCTGAGCCATCGGATGGCGGCGTCAGCGGTACGCGGGGATGACCGAGCCCTTTCAAGTAGAACGGCATGTAGTCTACAGACTCTAACACTGAATTGTTCAAAGCGAACTCTTCGAGTGGTAGTATGGCGCTTTAGCGCCTTGCGCTGGCGTCTCAGCGCAGACTCTGCGAAGGTCGTCATCACCGACGCAATTCCCGCACTCAGTTTGACCATCGGTCTGCGGATGGCCCGCTGTTGACATAGTCGACTTGGTGCCCAGCACCCTGAAGATTGTCGCCCAAAACTCCCAGTAAAGCGCGGGTCT